TCTTTTTTTATTTAGCAGCTTGAAATATATGAACAACTGTCTTAGTGTTAACAATCTTGTAACCCCCCAAAATAAAATAAATAAAATTAAAAAAAAAACAATCCTATAATCCATGAATGAACCCACTTTTTTTTTGAACCCACTTCTTAATGGCATATTCATAACTCCTTTAGCAAGCCATAGTTTCTATGAGGTAATACCATGCTTAGAATTTTGCATCAATATGTATAAGTGAAATTAATGTGTGTATTACCACTATGTGCTATATCCATTTTGTTATTGTCTCAGATAATGCTAACTTAGTGCCATTGGCAAGTTTCCTTGTCTTCGGTACTTTGGAAAAGTTAAAATGGCATAGATACTCCTTATCCCTGGACGTATTTTTTGGAAGCTTTCTTAATGTTTAGAGTTATTAGTCTTCTTGGATATTTAAAGCTTTTCTTAAGTTATTTTTCTATTTATATTTTCTCAGATAACTAAGATAACTAATTAGAATGAAATCTTCAAATTTATTGAATGAATGTGTGAAAATTATCTCTTTAAGCTATTAAATTAATCTTATAAATGTGGTTATGTTTTCCTCATTGTAAGTTTTGTCTATTTGTGGACATTTTCTTCATTAAGATTTTATCTATTTTATTATTACAAACCAATAACTTTTAAATAGATTTGTCAAGATAACCGTTTTCAAGTTAATCGTTTTTTGTGTTTATAGTCAATAATTCCCTATTCCTATGATATTTGATCTCTATTAGAGTTATTTTTACTACTGAAATTTAAGTTTTAATTCATTTTTATTATATTAATGTGATTAATTAAAACAATTGGTTATTATATCTTTTATTAAAAGCAAATCTGAATTTTCCTTACACTATATATTGCTTTCTTTCTATTATAAAAAAATTCAGTTTTATTGGGATATAATTGACATATAAAATTGTATTAGTTTAAGGTGTACAACATATTGATTTGATATATGTTTATATTACGCAATAATCACCATAATGAATTTAGTTTATCTATCACTTCACACACATAGTTAAAATTTTTATCTTGTGATAAGAACTTTAAGATCTACTCTCTTTATAGCTTTTCAATATACAATACAGTATTGTTAACTATTGTCATCACGCTGTACATCACATCCACAGAAGTTATTTATTTAATTAATTAATTAATTAATTATTTTTTAAAAGATTTTATTTATTTATTTGACAAAGAGAGACAGCGAGAGACGGAACACAAGTAGGCATAGAGGGAGAGGGAGAAGCAACTCCCCGCCGAGCAGGGAGCCTGATGTGGGGCTCGATCCCAGGACCCCGGGATCATGACCTGAGCCAAAGGCAGATGCTTAATGACTGAGCCACCCAGGCAATATCTTAATATTGCTCTTAGAAAAGTAAAACAAGGGTCACCTGGGTGGCTCAGTCTTTAAGAGTCTGCCTTTGGCTCAGGTCATGATCCCAGGGTCCTGGGATTAAGCCCCTCATCTGGCTCTCTGCTCGGCAGGAGGCCTGCTTCTCCCTCTCCCATTCCCCCTGCTTGTGTTCCTTCTCTCACTATATCTCTCTCTAAAAAATAAATAAAATCTTTAAAAAAAAAAAGTAAAACAAAATAAGATCCTAAAATAGGAAATAATAGAAATTTGATGACACAATGATAATTATTTGTAAATGAATAGGATTTTCTACCAAAAATATCAGAGACAATCAACTGCAAAGCCATTAGAGATGATAAGGCACTTTATAAAGATACATGCTGAATACAATTGCATTTAAATATGCATCTTTTTTTTTTTTTGGACAAACATCTTTATTTAAGAAATCAAATAAATAGATGGGGTAAAAAATTATGGTAGCAACTTCACACAAGGGTATGAGACCAAACTTAGAACTACTTGCTCAAGTTATTCAGGATGGTACAAAATTAAGTGCTCACAATTAGCACAGAAAATATCTGGTTATAGTACTTGTTTTTAAATGGACATTTACTAGTTTACAGTAAGATCCCACTTGTTAGGGACCACTCCCCACCCCGTTGGTGTACAACCTAAAAAAGCTACGAATGCAAATGTTAATGTAATATAAACTTTTCTTTGTTTACAATTCCAGAATTACAACTTCTTTGTAGTAAAACTATCAACAGGTTCACTTACTTCAGTTTACTGTCGGAGGGAAAGGCAATATAAGAACTGAAAGTTTGTATCTTTTGATGATCCTCACCCATTTCCACCACCCCCTGCTTCTGGTAACCACCAATTGTTCTATGAGTTCGTATAGAAGTATAGAAGATATTTTCAGGATACCTTGCTAGCAAAAACATGTTTTCTGCTTTTTTATGAGACTACCAGTGGAAGGTAATTACTATCAATTAATCAGTTTATGTTTCCTAGAATTTTAATGTTATTGATACTACTGAGTCCATACAAACACTTAACAAATAACGATAAGATCCTTCATAGAATTTGGAAGTAGATGCTGTTTCTTTTTGTTATTTAATTATCCCTTTCTGTGTTATCCTTCTACTCTTTGTAAAGTTCAGTTTTATTTCTTCAGATAACAAAACATTTCTTCTACCTCTTAAAGAGTCAACCATTTAACATTGCTTTTACTTCAATCTGTAAATTTGAAAGTCTCATTTATTGAGAAATATTATCATTATTATTGCCTAGAAAGGAAGAAAAAAAGTGTTACATACTTTCTATATGCTCTTGTTTTTATTAACTTAGTCCTTTTTTGAATATGAGTCTAAAATAAAATTTATAAACCATATAATCAAAAGAAATCAATTTTGACTCAAGATGTTACTATAGTACAAAAAACACAACCCCAACTCTATTTCTCCTATTAGAGAAAGAAAGAAAGAGAAAAGGAAGGAAGGAAGGAAGGAAGGACAGAAGGACATCAAAGAATGACCAAAATAAACTTATAAAAAGTAAATACTGGATAAACAACAGAATAAGGGAATAGAAGAGCATTTATAAATAATAAATATACATAGTGGAATTTGAGAACTTATTCTATCCCTCCAACATACACACACACACACACACACACAAATTAATTCATATAAGAACCAGATACCATGAAACACCACCACCATCTGAGGATAACAAAGCAGTATTTATAATTAAAACTTTGGTCACTACGATGGAAGTAAGATATTAGTTGTAGGTCTAGAAAGTTAAGTTGAGACAACAGCCATCAAAAAGAAAGAGAGAGACAAAGAAACAAAACTGAAAGAGACAGAGACAGAGAGATAAGGTGGGGAGAGAAAAAGAAGAAGGGGGAAGAAGGGGAGAGAAGGAGGAGGAGGAGTGAAAAGAGGAAGGAAGGAAGGAGGGAAGGAAAGAATGAAAGAAGGAAGGGAGGAAGGAAGGAAGGAGTTACAATGACTTTAGAAAATTGTCAGTTTCTTAAAAACTTAACATATCTAGTTATTTACTCGAGAGAAAATGAATCATATATCTGTGTGAAAACATATTCATGTTTTCAGTCAGGATTTGAATCCAGGCAATCTAAAAAATATGCTAATTTATTTTTTCTTTCTTTATTTTTTTAAAGATTTTATTTATTTATTTGACAGAGAGAGATAGCGAGAGCAGGAACACAAGCAGGGGGAGTGGGAGAGGGAGAAGAAAGCTCCCAGCGGAGCAGGGACCCCGATGCGGGGCTCAATCCCAGGACCCTGGGATCATGACCTGAGCCAACGGCAGATATTTAACGATTGAGCCACCCAGGCGCCCCTAAAAATATGCTAATTTAAACTAACTGAATTGAATTAGTTGCTACCTAAATAAAGTTAATAATACAAATATAGAAAGTGAGTGATAGTAAGATGATCATAAGTGAGTAAAACTTTAATTTCCCAAAGATGGAAAGACATTAGAGAGTAAAGTGTATATATATATATATATATATATGAAGAAATAGATATAAATTCATATAATGTATATTATGGAGTGATCACTTAAAGTGAATACTCCAAACATTTTTCCTTTTAAGAAAGGATCTGGGAGTCAGGGAATCATTTCAGAAACTTGTTTTTTATTTTGGTACAGTACAATTCTATATTTTTTACATTTGTATATATTTTTTGGTAATATGTGAAAAGTGTCTGAATTCTTATTATGCCCAAGCATTCAATAAAGTTTCCTTGCAAATTTGTTCTTAGTAACAGGCCTCTGTGCAGGTACTTAACAGACAAATGTGTGCACACACAGAGTATCTAATTACGATACAAGCAAATTTTGTTTTCTTATCCTCTAAAATGTATTTTGTTCTATGCAAATTAGCATATATTCAAAGAAATATTCTAGTCAGGAAATTTTTGAGCTGCTGGAATATTACAGAAAAGGTAAATTTAGTACAATTGCCTTGCTCACTAGCCTGTTTTCGGAAGCACACCTCCTTCATTTTAAATTTTCATAGTTATGGGGTGTGTATGCATTCATTAGGCCATCTGCAGAAATAGAGGCTGAGTTGAGAGGAAGCAAAACAGTAAATATTCTAAGCTTGGGAATAGAGAGAAAAAAGAGAAAACAAGGAGAAGATAAAACTGTCTTTAGGTTGAAATTTTTTAAATGGCTCCACAAATTTACCAGCAGTAAGTCTTTTAAGGTATGGAGATTTATTAACACTAGTGCTTTCACCACAAATTACTTTTAGCGGCTTAGACGTATACACAAAACTGTTAATGGTTTGCGGAGTTCCTACCATAAATACTAGTCATTTTTACACAAGATTTAGGTTTGACACTATTATGAGAATCTGCTAAGTGACAGAAGTATGCCTGTACTCTCATCCCTATCCTTCATCGCAGCTATAGCAAAACTTCATGGCATTTACTCTAAAGTCAAAACACCTTCAAAGAGATATTAAAAATGACTTCTCCTTTCCCGTTTTTGCAAAAAAAAAAAAAAAAAGATTTTAAAAAGGCATTTGTCTTGACTTAGTGCTGGGCCTTCCATGTTTGTTTTTTTCTTCTCCTGGACAGGAGCCCTCTGTAGCAACCATGTTACGCCAGATCATCAGTCAGGCCAAGAAGCGTCTGAGCTTGATCCCCCTCTTCGTATTTATTGGGGCAGGAGGTACTGGAGCAGCGCTGTGTGTCTTGCGCCTGGCATTGTTCAATCCAGATGTCAGCTGGGATAGGAAGAATAACCCAGAACCCTGGAACAAACTGTGTCCCAGTGATCAATACAAGTTCTACTCAGTGAATGTAGGTTACAGCAAACTGAAGAAAGAAGGTCCAGACTTCTAAATGAAATGTTTCACTATAAAGCTGCTTAGAATGAAGGTCTTCCAGAAGCCATCCACACAATTTTCCACTTATCCAGGAAATATTTCCCCTCTAAATGCACGAAATTGTGTTGGGGTTTACGCTGAATAATAAATATCTGAAACTTGAAAAAAAAAAAGACATTTGTCTTTGCAAGGAATGTCCAATTTCAAAGATGTATTATTTTATGTCCCAAACATAATATTGTCATAAAAAGTCCTCTACCCTTCCATCTATTAAGAACAAAGAAAAGCATTGGGGAGGGTACGTGCTCTGTTAAGCGCTGTGAATTGTGCAGGACTGTTGAATCTCAGATCTGTACCTCTGAGACAAATAATGCAAGATATGTTAAGAAAAAAAAAAAAGAAGAAGAAGGTAGCGGGAGGGGAGGAATGAAGCGGGGGAAATCGGAGGGGTGGACGAACCATGAGAGAAGATGGACTCTGAAAAACAAACTGAGGGTTATACAGGGGAGGGGTTGGGAGGATGGGTTGGCCTGGTGGTGGGTGTTGAGGAGGGCACGTTCTGCATGGAGCACTGGGTGTTGTGCACGAACAATGAATCATGGAACACTTCATCTAGAACTAATGATGTAATGTATGGGGATTAACATAAGAATAAAAAAAAAAGAACAAAGAAAAGCATATATAAGAGTTTTCTAGGTAGATATAGCTAATTAGCTGGATTAATCTATATAAATAGAACACAAATATAAGGCAGATGCTTTGATTTCAAAATGTAGATCTTTATTTTAATGGGCAGGTCTCTAGATTTCTAGTCTTTAGGAATGTTGTCTAAACCATTGTTTCTCTTCAGATTTCTCCCATCTGTGACAAAGGAAAATAAAATCTCTCCAACATTCTCTTATGCGCTGGGTCTCTCTTAGGTTTTACTCTTTTCTTCTCCTTGCCAGTCACTGTTCCCTCACATACATCTTTTTTTTTTTTTAAGATTTTATTTATTTATTTGAGAATGAGAGACAGAGAGCATGAGAGGGAGGAGGGTCGGGGGGAGAAGCAGACTCCCTGCCGAGCAGGAAGCCCGATGCTGGACTCGATCCTGGGACTCCAGGATCACGACCTGAGCCGAAGGCAGTCGCTTAACCAACTGAGCCACCCAGGCGCCCCCCTCACATCTTTATACGGCTGCAAAATTTGAAAGGGGGGTCATTAAAAAAATATTTCAAGGATATTTTGAATTAAGAGTAAATATATGTAAATACAAATACATGGGGTAAAAGTGTAATTGTATCTCAGTCACTTAAATTCTCACAGTGATGTTAAAAACTATCATTTTTGTTTACATCCTCATTATCAAGTACTTACCACAGTGACATCTTTAGCTTCAAAGGGAGAAAGCATGTCTTGCCTAGCTTGGTCTACATATGCCTACCTGACACAGTCAAGGACCACGGGGCGGGGAAGCCCCAAGTGAAAACCATTATGCACCTGAGGCACTTCCTCTTGGCTGTTATTCCTAACCCACCTCTCTTACCAAGCAAAACCAAGATGTGGCCCAATATACAAGCCAGACTTATAAACGACAGCCTCAGCCATTTCCTGTTGATGGAAGGAACAGAGGCTCCACAAACGTGAAAGACCCTGGCTTTAAAAAACAGTGAGTTCCCTGAGTTGCCTGCCAATATCAACCAATCAGAACAAGACACTTTTCTATCCCTTATCAGCATTTTGTACCAGAGTGGGAACCTGAGTGGGGACTTTATATAAGCAGGACCTCCCCTTTGGTGCAGGAGGCCAGCCTGACTCCTCTTTCTTGGAGCCGTGTCTCCCTTCAGCTCATGCTATTGCCCCAGTAGGGCCTTGACTGTGCTTTTGACTTTTGGGTCTGGCCCTGTTTCTATCAATGATGGACCCAAGAACCTGATTCCCAAGAGCCTGACTTCAGTAACATACCTAAAACTCAGAGGTGCTTTTGCTAAATAGAAAAAGAGGACATTGCATGTGATGCACAATGATCAGACTTGCCTCTAGCACCCCAATATCCTTGAATACTTTTGTTGTTACCTATAGCACAAACTTAAACCTCCTTGAAATGAAGCAACTCAAGTCTAATAATTATCACATCCATATCCAGGTCTACAATTTCTAAGTGTGGCGTAGACTTCGTCATTTTGGATATATTTCTTTGTGGTCTGGTGACCTATAATCTAAAGAAAAAATATCTTAACATCTCCTAGCCAGTATTCAGTGGTGCTGTATGAACAGCATAGACAGTTCAGATTGTTCCATTAAGAAAACAAAAGAATGCATACATTCTTTCAAATTAGTGATTGTGTTTTCTTTGGGTAAATACCCAGTGGTGGAGTTATTGGATAAATACCATATGAATTTACTTATATGTGGAATCTAAGAAACAGAACAAATAAATAAACAGACAAACAAAAAGCAGAATCAGACCTATAAACACAGAGAACAGACCGACAGTTGCCAGAGGAATAGGGGTTAAGGAGATGGGCAAAAGGTGAAGGGTAGTGGGAGATACAGGCCTCTAGTTAAGGAAGGAATAAGTCATGGGAAGAAAGAGCACAACACAAGAAACGCAGTCAGTGATACTGTAATAGTGTTGTATGGGGACAGATGGTCGCTGTGCTTGTGGTGAGCATGGCATAATGTTTAAACTTGTCAAATCTCTATGTTGCACACTCGAAACTAATGTAACATTGTGTGTCTACACTCAAATCAGAAGAAGAAGCAGCAGCAGCAGCAGCAGACAACAAAAGAATGAGAAGCTCCCAGCAGTTCCTGATCCATAGGCATTATGAAATATTGTTGGGCAAGAATTTTGCAAACTGCCTACCTTGGCAGCGGAGCAAACTACTTGTAGAGACACTAGTTTGACTCTCTGGGTTGATTCCCATCACACTGTGTTCTGTAGACCCTGGCTTTGCTCCCGGGAATAGTCTCCTTGCTCAGTCTCTACCGGGACTCTCACGGCCGGCTTCCATCTGGTACAGACTGGAAGCCCAGAGTTTGCCATAGCAATCCAACAGCCACTGTGCTTTCCAGGCCAGGCTTGTGGTATCTTTGGCAAATATAAATCCCTAAGAACTGATTTGGCTTGGGATCTGTTTTTTTCCAGTCAGTTATACGGGCAAGTGAACACATGGAACACTTGGAAAACCTTGTCTAGATAAAGCATGGACTCCTCCTTTGTCTGTTATCAATGCATTTTTGCTGAGCCCTTTCCTCTTCACTAATGGTCTCATGATAAAGTTGCAGGGTCGTGGGATATCCTAGAGTTTTAACATATGTGTATGCTGCTTTAACCAATTTGCTGAGTCACTAATAAAGCCAATTTTGAGTGGAGTTCAGAGTCATGGAAAGCTTTCTATCTGGTGTGGGCTATATAGTTAAAACGAAAACCCTTCCTCTCTGCCATTATGGCTGGAAAGGATGGAGAACTGGTGATAAAGAGCCTAGAGTAAGAGGTACATCAACAGTTCATAGACTAAAAATCTTAGGTCCAGCATCTTAGTGTATATATGTGGTCAAAGCAACTGTTAGGAAAAGAGAGGTGAGGAAGTTCTTCATAATAAATACTATGGATTAGAGGATTTATTCTGTGAATGTCAATTAATGGGCTTATGAACAAGTCGTTACAATTGTAGAATGGAAGGAATGCTATTGTCAAACAATTGAAATGCATAAAACAACATTTGATAAAGCCATTGGTGACATGTTCCCATTGCTGGAAGCATCTTCCCCCATAATGATACTCATTGACAAAAAAATTAAAGTAGCAACACACATTCCCAGGAATCATAGATCTTACACATGACCAAATTTATTAATAATATCAAAGGATATGAGCACAAACCAAGCATAGGAATACCATTTCTGTCTCCTGTGATGCCCTAAACTTTCAAATTATTTCTTTTCAGCATTGGTACATATTTGGATTTCAGAGATGCATGCTAACATTAATTATATATCGTGTGTGTGAACTCAGAGGAAGCTGTTTCAGTATGGGACTTAGTTTTTATCCTTTTTTAATCACATAAGCTGAAGAGTTTATATGTTAAAGTTCTAGTTTACAACCAAATTTGTTTCAGAGAAGCAATCTAGATGGATCAAATATACTCTGCTCAGAACATATTTAGGTAGTTTTATTGACTCTCTTTCTTCTACTAAAACTATTTTTTACAAAGAGATCTTTGAGGTCAACATAGATGTAAGTGTCGTCAAGGAGAGAGGGAATAAGTTACATACCTGCTATAGATAGGTTTTTTTTTTTCTTTCCAGGTACTATAGCTTGGGGAGAAGAATAGATAGAAAACCAATTAATTGCACTGGACTTTTCTTGTACTGGTGGGGGCATTGGATTTAGACACAGGATTTAGACACGTTATCCTGTCCATCATTTTTCTATTTTTGACTTTAAAAGAATACTCTCAACTGAGAAATTTCTATTATTAATTTTATTCATATGTTTACTGGATCTGTTAAAACTTATAAAACCATACAATTTGCTTCTGAAGAAAAACTCTTTTTCAGTGAAAGAAATAAAGAGCTGATGCCATGTGATGTACCTGTCTTATCATATGCCAAATCAGCCGGAAAATATAGCCTTCTATTTTATTGAATGCTAGACCGTGGTTAGGAGGATTAAAGGTGCTGTTCTTCAAGATGTTATATATTTTTTGACCTAATAAACAAAATAGATTACTGTTCTTCCCATTTTCAGATTTCATAGATTTGAGACCAAATATTAGAAGTGGGATTGAGGGGCGCCTGGGTGGCTCAGTTGGTTAAGCGACTGCCTTCAGCTCAGGTCATGATCCTGGAGTCCCGGGATCGAGTCCCACATCGGGCTTCCTGCTCAGTGGGGAGTCTGCTTCTCCCTCTGACCCTCCTCTCTCTCATGCTCTCTGTCTCTCATTCTCTCTCTCTCAAAATAAAAATAAAATCTTTAAAAAAAAAAAAAAGAAGTGGGATTGATTTCTCTTACAATTACACCTTATTAATCACTAGTAGTACACTTTTACCATTCTTCCCTGTGATTATGGGATCTTCTGATATCATGCTCTTAGAGCCCCAAAGAGAAATACTTTCATTATGAATCACAATATACTT